GTCCAAATAAACTAAGCACTGTGCTTTATTTGCCGCCATTCATCTGTGTGCATTTTCACCACTGTGATTAGATTTGCGAGATGGAGAAAAAGCCTTCCATTGTCACAACCACCCCCACCCCCCCCCCCCAAATAAAATAAAGTACAAAAAATAAATATGTATAATACATAGATTGAAATCCAGGTCTCTGTTGTGTTGACAACGGATGTGCGTCACCAACTTCCCTCCCCTTTGTCTCTGGTAAAAGCATCCTTTTTTGGTTGTGAAATTTAATTGTATTGATATTAAATGGTGGTCCAAGTGAGTTCACTCCTTCGCTAACAGCCAAGAAATAATCGTCTTGTATTTGCAGTGGAGCAATATTCAAGGTGCTGATTAGCTGCCGTCAGATTTTCCTTTCAAATTGATGATTGGTTGGCATTCTGCCAACATTTCGAGTTTGTACAGTGTACAGGTATTTTCCTTAATTAGTTAAAGGTCAGCTGCCATGTGTTAACTTGTGTGAACTATTTTTTTTTTATTATTCCACGGGTTTTGGTCATTTTAGGGTGAGAACATGCGCGCTCATAATTTAAAATATTTCATTAAAGGATCCGTTTCATTATTTGTTAGGAAATATATTGTGTGATTTTAATGTGATAGTTAATTTTACCCCATAGCATTTTAAAGGGAATCAAAATGCAGTGGACAAATTTAAAGTAGTAGTTCAAGTAGAAATGCATGTAGTAATTCAAGTAGATAATGAAGGAAATGTGTACTTAATGCGTGTAGTTTGTTTTGTTGTGAAGGACTAAATTTCCTGTAAAAAATGCAAACTCAAATGACAACATTTTACTCTGTAAATAAATTATAAAAATTAAACCATAATCGACCAGAATATACAGTCCTTAATCCATCAACCTATTGCAAAACCAGGTTGTTAATTTGGGCCTTTTACTGTGGTTACGATTGAAAAGTATATTTAAAATATCTACATTTATTTATCCCTACTCTTCTCGACCACGTACCCCTAGCCTCCTTTATCTGTCAACCCGTGCACCGAATGTCAACTCAGAGATGGAGACCCCTGTCCCTTTGTTCCTAGATTCAATTTAAATTAAACATTTTCTGCATAACTTCCCAGTATGATCAAAGTGACTCGTGTGTGGCTGTATAAATTGACATGGGCGCTGGTATACAGGGCTCGTGCTATCGTTGATTGACTCTCGTATAACATTTGTGGGCAAATACATGTTTCCAACTGATCAGACAATTCACTTGTTCAAGGGGACATGTCAAGATCAAATATTCATGCTCATATCCAAAGGGGAAAATTAAACCGATAAACAGGTGTGGACATTAGGAGTTGAAGTAGACATTTCAGCTGTGAATACAACTATGTAATGCATTTCTAATACCTTAGGTTTGAGTTCAGGGTTTTGAAAGCCATTAAAGAAATTAATTATGAACGCATGCCGGTAGTAAATATGTTTTGTCTGCAGATTGGTAAATGATTTGAAATTAGGTACAGTTGTCCATTACAAAAAAAACAGAATCAACTTTTTTTTTTCTCATTATTATATCATATTTATCGTTTACATGGCTTTCTTTCATATACTTAGTTCATTAAACTGTTACATGCATTTCCCATAGACTTTTTTTCCCGCAGCTTATAACATGATAGCCAGTCATTAGCTGAGAGCCAGTCCAAATAATTATGCATCGCATGAATTTTTCTTTACTAACCTGCAACATTTTTTTTCTTCTGGCAAACCTTTGTAGGTTAGCAATTCATGTGCCTAATAGCTCAATAAATTTGCCCTTGGTGAATACTTTATGTTACCTTCATCACATTAAGACTTTCATTCTAGAGACTCAATCTGCAATTGGGCATACTTTGAAACAAACGCACAATTACCTTGTACACAGATTTGAAGCACATTTGCCTGCATCTTTGAGGTATTGCATCAATACTTGTTTGGACACATTATCTGGCAGCTGTACATAAAATCCTAAACTTCAGTTTACATGAATGCAAGAAAGATGAACACCCACCTTAAGTTCTTCTATGATCTCCAAGTTGAGTTTGATCGAAAGCCCTCTCATATAATCTTAGACTTGATTTGATGGGAGGTCTTTCAGGAAGACGTCCAAGTCAGCAATGTCAAGTACACGTTAACATCCTCCACTCATTGGATACGTAGAAGGCTGTGAACAGTCTTAACCTTACGCACCACACAGACTCACAAGTCGCTTGCCGTATCTCGTCAATTGAGCTACGAGAATTTAACCACCAACCTTGCACGGCATTCCTTGACACATCTGTATTCGAAAGACGGCAGTTTAGTTAAATCCGTTGCCAGGCAACAGCATGAGATACGCAGCCTGGGCTCAACAAAGAACAGCTCCCTTCTTGATCATAATATTTGTAATTTTATTTTGTCATGAAGAGATTGACAAGAGGAAAGGTTTGCTTGTTCCTTTTGTCACGCCGTGCCGGCTAAGTGCATGGTTTGGGTTTTGAGTCTGAACGGTGACTGACGCGTGATGCAATGATGCACGTGTAGCTAAGGGTTCTCTTCGGAAGTACGCATCACTGACAAAACTTATTACATTTGCCAAAATGTATGTATGCAAGGAAATATAAAAGAAATATTGTAGATGTGGGGCTTGTTCACGTTCTAGAGTTCTATCCATATGCACGAAGTCATCACAAAAAAGCTTTTTTACCAGTTGTCAATAATTAAACAAAGCCAAATAGTAAACTGCGTTAATGAAACAAGAACGAGTGCATCACTTCTAATTCCTTTCCTGTACATTTATTGGTCATTTGAAATTGCATCACATGTGGATGTACATGTATTTCCGAAACCTTTAATGAATGATCTTGGTAATTTACTTTTCCTCACTGTGAATATTTTCACTCAGATTAAGGATTTAAGGAATCTCTGAAATCTGGTTTCTCCGAGGTATTATTGTAAAAAAAAAATGCCACTCATGACTTTTATTCTGTAACTCGTACATGTCGTATTTGTAAACATGCATCTTTTCCTAACGATCATCTTTGCCAAGCACTTGTCAAGTCTGACAACTAAACTTGGCTGTCCGGGCTACCTCCGTTTTAATTGGTGGTTGCCTGGCAACCCTAGGCTAGCAACCACCAATCAGCAGTGTTGCAATTGACCGGGTTGCCTGAATGGAATACGGTTTGTCCGTTGTCCGGCAACCAGGTTCTTGTGCTGCCAGACTGAAGAATTTAATGTTGTTCTTTACTTGCACCAAATTTTACAAAACATAAATCTGCAATTGTCAAACTACTTCCTAAATGAATGAGTCAAAATGAGCATGCTACTTTGTTGCTTTAAAATTATGTTTGTAAACACACCCCCCCCCCCCTCATTTCAGGTATTGCAAACTATGACTTTCTCCTATACTTAAGGGGCTCGGAAACTCCAAACTGGTTCTGGCACTGTCTGAAATGACCCTGAAATGGAAGGAGGGTCATATAAAGTACGTATGCATGTAGTGAGCTGAACGTGCACGCTAACGCGATCTGTCAGTCACTTGTAAAACAAGAAGCAACTATCTGTGGTATTTGTAATTGGATGGGACGCCAAATTTACGGGCCAAAATATTATTTCACGTTGTCGCAATGAGGTTGCCACGTTGGTTGTAATCTCTCCAGAAGTGGACGGATGATTGATGAAGCAATGCTGGATGTTATCTTGTCATCTGTCAACCTGTCACTTCAGGCAACTGCTTCAGATCACTTTGTCTTGAAATTGTCTTTAGTCAATTCATGTGGACCATGTGGGCTAACATTTGAGAAGGGCAAGATCATCAAGGCCAATCAAATTTAATAGCAGTCTCCCAGCACCAGGGTAAATTGTGGCTCATGTATGTTGTTGTTGATGGCCATATATGTAGGTGTACCAAAATAAAGACGACTAAACATAGAATTGCTCGGGAGTGTTTCATCTGTGGCCTATTTTTCCAGATAATTTGCGATGAATTGACTTTTGATGATTTTCATTAGTGACTTTTCTTTCTTAAAGATCGAGCTGAACGTCAATACCTTTTCCATCTTAGGAGATTGAAATAAAATACAGTGAACGGGTGTAGGAGGAGGGGAAATATCAATAAAAGGGTCTTTTCCATCTGAATGATTGAAATGAAATGGCTTGGGATGTTTTGAAGCGTCTCTATAATTGAGTCTTTCAAACAGTCGCTTGCATTAATTTGACAGATTAAAGTGAAAGTAGGTTTTTAAGTGTCTCATCTCCGTTTTCTTCTAAACTTTGAAATGTTTAAATTGAGTGTTCCTTTTGATGTTTGAAGTATTGAAGCGGAATTAATGACGGAATTTCTAGGTAGCACCACGCATCTATTGTATTGGTTGTGTCCGGTTCTGAGCACAGATTTGCTCTGTTCGTCTTTAGGAGAATGCTGTAAGACAGGTTTTAAGTGTCCAATCTGTATTTTTGGGCGTTGCACATTATTGCATTGTGTTTCTTAAGGAGGAGGATTGATGGTGCATTTTATAACACATCAGGCTGATTGTATGTTTCAACTTGAACGTGAAGCTGAACAGTTAGGTTTCAAATTCAACGTTTAGACGTTCAATTGGCTTTGTCTGATCATAGCGCGATGGTCTGATATTAGAGTTATTCATGTTTGATAAACTTTGATATGTGAACTCGACCTTGATGGCGGGATCACTCACATGATTGATTTAAAATGGCGGAGAAATAATTCACCACTCTCCCCACACAAACAAGGTCATCAATTTGGACATCCTGGGTATCAAAAACCCCGATATGACGGAAAAATGCTATCACAAACTATGTATTGATGTTAACATACAGATATAGTAGCAAAATATCTCAATTTTATCTATTTGCTAATAAGCAAAAAACATTTGTTATCTATGTTGGGCTTCTCCAGTTCTGGTCTCTGGAGATAGATGTTGTCAGTTAGCGAATATGAATCATGAGTTCTATTCATCATCCTGTGTCATACAGGTTACGACTGCGGTTTGTACGTGATATGCGTGGCCGAACACCTCTGCCAGCAGATGATTGATGGTAACACAGAGCCACTACGGCAGAAAGTCACTGGCAAGACGGTCCAGGACAAACGAACAGAACTAAAAACCCTCATCCATAACCTGGCCAGAGAAGGCACCAGGTGATTGTAACTTCAAGGCCAATGGAGAGGCTCGATAAAGTGTTTGGTAAAGAGAGATTCAAGTGACATATGGATACATGCTGCCCGCCGGAAGCATTTTGGGATGACTTCTTGTTGGGCTGAAAGCAAGTTAACTGTTAAACGTTTTGTACATATCTGGGATGCTGGTGGTTCAGGTAAATTTCTGAAATATGCCATCTTTAGGAGTGAGAGTGTTTATAGTGTTTATGGGATCATTTTGAGACGAGAAGGAAATTTGAGACGAGAAAGAATATAATGTAGATTATATTTCCCAGTCTTGAAAGTCAGACATAATAGGCTCACATCACCGCTATAAGAGGAAAGGGTGTATTATGTGTTCATGAGTTGCTCGACCGCGAAGCGGGCGACAGGCGAGTATGGCGTCGCCCACTTTGCGGGTGAGAGGCGGCTAGTCCGACCCTACGTAGCGGGGGCGAAGCAAAACTTCGTGTATACAGTATTATATTCATGTAGATTTGCCAAGTCGGTTTACCATGATTTGATATCGAGGTGTGGTCAGTGGCGTATCCAGTAGGGGGGGGGGGGGGCACTTATAGAGTTTATAGAGTTCTTCTGTCATCAATCCCACCAAAGAAAACCCGCTCAACAACCATTACAATGCGCCGTGAAATTGTCCATATAATAATATAGTATACATAATAATGGTCAGTTTTGAAGAGCGCCCCCATTTGGAAGATGGGTACCAGCCCCCCCCCCCCCCTGCCTTTTTGATTTTACGGAGGGCAAGTGTCCGGAGAAAAAAACATGTCTACATTTCGGCGCGGATGTGCGGTTGCCCCCCCCCCCCCCCCCCCCGACATCAAAAGCTGGATACGCTGCTGGGTATGATATCTTTCCTGATTCATACGGCATCTGTTTTCTGTTATTTAGGGAGTTGCCAACTAATATATATTCGTCCTCTATAATTTCCACCCTTATTTAAGATATATCCTGACGTCTGTGAGTGGGGAACCCTTTTAATGATAATCTGTATATGATGTTCTGGGATACCGCATTTGTAGTTTCCTTGGGTGACTGATGGGATAGTATGTGAGTTGTGATGGGACAAGTGATTTCGAAGACGCAATGAGAGATGAGGATGTATACTGATGCCATCTTTAAGCCATCCAATCCAGGAATGGAGTACCAATGCGGTGTTTTGACAAGAACATGTTAAAGCCTTGAGGTATTGTGTGGATGGAAGGGATGAGGCGGATAGGAAGGATGGAATGTACTGCAATTAGCCATCTTTCCTTAGCTGCATTGAACGTTTCTGTGTTAAACCTTGACCCTTAAGACCATAAAAATTTACGGAATTTATATGTGTAGCAGTATGCGTATGAGGCTTTATACTGGTACGTACTGGCATGGCTTTTTACTCTAGGTTTTCCCGCACATTTTAAAACTTGTTTTCATTCAAATTCAAAAACGGTTTACTTCAATTTCGTCTTGAAAATTCATGATCTTGCATACCCCATGTACAATTTCGTCTTTGGTCGCGCATTTTCGCACTTTGTTCAAACAATTTCATACCTTATCCATACTTTTTCGTGAAATCAATTTCGTCGTCTGTAATTGCCGAACGTATGATAGATGAATCAATTTCGTCACTGCAATCAGTGTTATATACATTTTATTCAAATTCGTCTCATGATTGTATACTATCTTCGGTATTTTTACGTTTTCATCTGTTCGTTTCTACTTTAAACATAATTACTTTATTTGATTGTGTCTGTTTAGTACATGTATCTCCTTATTTAACCTTAAACAAGCATTTTTCATGTAATAATTATTATGCAAAATTGTTATCTTTTTAAATTCTTATTTGTGTATCCGTTTAGTTTTTTGACATTTTGTATGCGTCAATAACTAAAAGAAATGAGGTCAACACGGGCAAATGAAAAAGCACACTTTACATTTCATGCAACAAATAAGTAGGCCTAATCTACAGCATCCCGCAAACGGGCGACAGTTGTTTTCAAGTAACGTCTGGATTAGGGCGACACGCCTTATTGGGGCGACAATTTGGTGTCACCCTATTGTTAAAACGACCCTTAGGACAACGCATTTTATTGTCGCAAACCATTTTTAGAGCGGTTCCCCTCGGTCCAATTAGTAAAAATACCGAATTCCGTGGAGGCAGGATAAGGTAAACTTGGCTTAGGTGACAGCTTAGGTTTGTGCACAAGTCTATGGGAAAGTCGCCCTATTATAGCATTAGTAGAAATTATTATGTACTTATGAAAAGCAAAATGCATTCATATTTTCACATCTTTCGAAAACATTCAATTCAGTTCTTCTTCTTGTCCCTTGGATTGGTTGTTAAACCTTCAATTTCTTGTCTTGCAATACACCATGCCAAGTGCGTCTGTAAATGGTACCGGTACAGCAGCGTGCGCATTTGTCTGATGAATTTGATCGAAAATGTCTTGAAATCGATTGAACAAAGACGAATTCAATCCTTACATTATGCAGATGATCATCAGGTGAGACGAATTCCATTGAAATTTGACGACATTAATTGTTACATTTGAGCGTTCCGGTCTTCTCGAGACGAAATTGAAGTTAACCGTTTATGAATTTAAATGAAAAAAAAATAAAATGTGCGGGGAAACGTATATAAAATTGTCAACTTACTTCTGTCAAGATGGAGATGGGTATCTGTGTCCTTTTTAATTATTGGGATGATAATATATTTACAATACAAACTTATAGCCACGAATTCGAGTATCAGTTCGATGACCATTACCTTGTTATCGTGAAGTATGACAATAAATGTTTATGCTGCGTACGATGCACATGAGTGTAGAATTTGTGTAACGAGTAATGCGATTTTGGACACGGTTGCGTACAATTCTCTTATCAACGCTTCGTTTTGATAAGATGCAAATTCCAGGGTGTAGAAGTGTGAAAAGCTATGAAATTGAGTATGGCTAATTATGGAGGATCGCCATCAGCAGTCCACTGTATTATGTCTTGATTGTTTTGATACATCCCGATTCCTGTATAAGTTGTGATTGACCTGTTTGCGGTAGTCTTTGCCCAAGATAATGACATCTCCATTTGGTCATTGCAGCAGCTTATCAGAGCGTGACGACCTTTCTTAAGTGTGACTGAAAAGAGGACCTTGCAAGATATGAACACTCAATATGGCGTTTGCTTGATGGGATTTACATTCCCTGTTATTTTTGAAATTCTAATCAAATGGTGGTATAGCAACAATTCCCGCGTAATGTCAAAGTGCAGTATCGTTGCACGTGCAACATGCCCTGCATAGTAACGACTAAACGAACGACCCCATTAGGGGTATCCAACAACGTGAATCCACGGACGTACAATAACATTTTGCTAAAGCTGAAAAATCACATGTTTGCAATCTGTATTTTTATTAGATTTTGACAGTCACTAAATCGCTTCAACAAAAATGTTTTAAAGAGGTTGTGGAATGCTGAAAGTCGTTTTGTTTTTATATTTTTTTTATTGTAGAGTAGACCCATATATATCATAATGACAAAGTCCCATTCTTTTGTAATGTGCGTTTATATGTTTATAAAACTGAAATTCGTCGAGTAATTTGTTGGTCGGCGAGCGCATAATTGAAATCAACGTTTGTCGGGTTCTTCGTAAAATGAGAAAAATCGTGACGTAAGAAACAGGACTCGTTTATACTACGCTGCATCGGGAGTCCTGTTTATTATGTCACGATTTACTATGTTTTGTTTGCTGCCCCCAACGACGACTTTTACACAAATTGCACGTTCGGGTCGAAACAGGACCTGAAAAACAGCTCTCAAAAGTACCTTTTGTACTCATTTCATGACAGACGCAATAGTCGTTTTTATTTCATCACACCTTAGGCTACATATACCCGAAAAATGACGGAAATGTCTTCGAGCATTCCTCAAAAACTTTACTTTTACCTGGAAAGGGCCGTAACCAGAAAATTCAACAAAAATATGGCCTATTAACATTCACATTTACTCGTTCGTATTCAGAGAGTTTAAAGCTTCTTTCAATTCGTAATTTTTCGAAGCGGCGAAATCCAGTTACGCCAGCCGTGGCGGCGGGCTGTCGTTCAACCTTTGTCATCTCTTGAGCCAAATCCTCGTGCTTAGAAATTGAATCACAGTAGTCTTACAAAATGTACAGCATATGTCCAGCAGGCAGAGATGGCTTAGCTACGGAGCTACATAATGGTTTAAGCTTGAGGGGCTTCATGCCATGTCAATGCCAAGGGGAAGTTTACCATAATTACAAGGTGAGTGGCGCCCAGCAACGGAAAGTAATAAAATGTAGTATATGGTTTCCAGACATGCAGGTATATGTTCACGTTGCAATGCGAATGTACAAGCTATTATGGTTGTAGTAATTAAGTGCTCAACATTCTGAGTTATGCCCCTGGGTTTAATTATTGCATTGCATTGCATGGCCAGCTCCAGACGGGCATGTCTGGTGGAAAGTACGTGTACATCCACGTAATGTGTTATTATTAGATTAAGACATTATAGGAAAGCATTTGAAAGTAAGTGTGTTGGGCGTCATAATAGCTGATGCTGACGGATGTTAAGTATGACAAATGCACATGGGTTTTTTACTTGAGTCAGACGGGGAAAAAATGTTATCCGGATTTCCTCAATGAGTTGTCCAATTATAGCTACATTGTATTGCGGGGAAGGTAGGTTTATAACCGGAACTTTGCGTTGCACCTGTTCCAGCTTTCAATTGTTCTTCAATGCACGGTGCAGACGACGAACAATAATTTTTCAAAAGTTCGGAGAAACAGATATTGGTACAAAATACGTTTCATTTTAATATTCTTGTCATGGACACTTGAAATTCAAGCTTCACGTCGTAAAACTGGTTTAGAATCACAAAATACACGCAATCGACTTTAGTCATGTTAGTCTAGGCAGCATGGCAATTTGTCAACAAAGTTGTCAATGTGCATGCGTGGTTTTTATGTCAAGCGAAACTAATTCCCCTAGCCAGAGGAGCCGGAACCGTGGGGGGGGGGGGGGGCACTTTCCCCCCAGATTTACCCAAGTGCCCCTCTTGCGGACATAAATGTGGTCCCTCGAGCGTGCCCCCTCGAGAAAAAACTGGCCCTAAAATTTCGGATAATTTGTTTTCAGTAATCAAACCCCATGATGTAGCGATTTATTAATATGAAAATCAAGCCACAACACCCTTACAATGCGCCCTGAAAATGGGCACATATAATGCGTAGTTTGCATAATGGCCGGTTTGGAAGAGCGCCCCCTATTTTGGAAGATGGTACCAGCCAGCCCACCCCCCCCCCCAAAAAAAAAAACATTTGATTTTACGGAGGACAAGTGTCGGGTGAAAAAAAACTTGTCGCCATTTCAGCACGGATGAGCAAGTGCCACTTTTGGTGATGCTCCCCTCCCCAGCTTGAAAACCGTTTCGCCGCCACTGCTCCTAGTTCATTCACAGTTCAAAGTACCACCGAGGCGTCATTTATTACGTTTGCACGTTCCAAAATATGTATGGCACCATCTAACAAAGGCTTGTACGCGCCACGTGCGAGTGTATTTCTGTATGAAAATCAATGTTGAAAGACTGAGACAGGGAGTGTTTGAAATGGCCAGGTGGTTTACTCGCGGAATTGATAAAAAGAAGTTTTCACTGTATGGTTGTTTGTCGTAGTACTGACTAAACTCTGAGCCTAGAGTGTATATTTGACCCAACCTCGTCCAAGGGCCTGCTTCATTAAAACATGTGTAACAACCTTCGTATGAAATATTGGCGTTGCTATGACGAGTGTTGTCATAGTAACGTAGCTAAAGCCCTAATGGTGAGATATGATGTGTCAGGAATACACTGCGTACGCGTGTAAAGTGAAGCCGTTTTCAAAATTGCCCAATAAATTGTAAAATTAGCATTGTCAAAGTGGGGAAATATAAATAAGAAGTATATGGAGATGTGCTGACCTGTCGTGTCTGTGACCGGTAATTATAGCAGAATGTTTGTCTAAATGTCGATCCCTCTACTCGGAAAACAGCATTGTTTGTTCGCAGTTGCGTAGAAGATTCTTTACCAATGCCCTTGAAGTGAGCTGAGAACAATTATGATTTGTAACCGAGGCCTTCGGTTGCAGATAGACGAGCAAATACCGAGGGTGCCGTTTATTGATGAAATTTGATGGGAGTGTAGACGCTTAATGACGGGTCATTTACGCGCGAGTAGACAGGTGAATATACTGACGGAAAACGTCAACCTATCACACAGGGCCACAAAGTAGAAGACTACACAAAGATAGGTATGGTATATGGGTGGTGTTGACATTTGGATAGAAAGGGGGTTCAAGGAGCTTACATTGATGTGCATTGATGAGGTTTCGATGATGCTGTTATACCAGCTGCATGTGCATGGACATGAGCTATTGCACAGAATGTGCTGTGTTTGAGAGAGTGCAACGATTGGTTGACATCAACTTAGCTACTGCAACAGTTCATTCTCGGGTTACACAAATTGTCTTATAAACCAGGATTGTGTGTAGACTGCTTGAGAGTACAGGATAAGAAACTTGCGATCACTACCCTCGTTGTCATGGCGACTGGGGCGCTACAGATTGACATAGAATTTCACCTCGTGCTCCTTCGACTCGTGCATCGGATGAACTTGTCACCTCTCCTCCTTCCACCATTAGAATGTCCACTCTTGCCTTTTTCTCTCACTGTATGTGTGAAGCCCTGATTTTTAAGGAGCTGGGAAAATTGGATACACAGTCGTAAACGCCGGACGTCGAAATGCAAGTCTACTCGTTTCTGACGGCCCCGTGCGAGTCATGTTTCAGATGTGTTGTAAACCCGCACGCATTTAGTCGTTAAAGAGGTTGTGGAATGCTGAAAGTTGTTTTGTTTTTTATATTTTTTTTTATTGTAGAGCAGACCCATAAATATCATAATGACAAACTCCCATTCTTTTGTAATGTGCGTTTATATGTTTATAAAACTGAAATTCTTCGAGTAATTTGTTGGTCGGCGAGCGCATAATTGAAATCAACAGTCGTCGGGTTCTTCGTAAAATCAGAGAAATCGTGATGTAATCAACAGGACTTGTTTATACTACGCTGCATAGGGAGTCCTGTTTATTACGTCACGATTTACTATGTTTTGTTTGCTTCCCCAACGACGACTTTTACACAAATTGCACGTTCGGGTCGAAACAGGACCTGAAAAACAGCTCTGAAAAACAGCTCTCAAAAGTACCTTTTGTATTCATTTCATGACAGAAACAATAGTCGTTTTTATTTCATCACACCTTAGGCTACCTATACCCGAAAATGACGGAAATGTCTTCGAGCATTCCACAACCTCTTTAAAACAAATCTTTCACTGTTTTCTGAGACGAGTTATTAGTCCAAATAACAAAAACACTACGACGCTTTCCAAACACATTATGAAATCTTGTCTTATAGAAAGTCGATTCAGCCTGAATATTACTGATTATTTGAAGACTCTTTGTCAATGAGGGCCTTGATGTTCAGTAGTCTCGCAATTCCTCTTTTCGACCAATGAGAATTTTGCATTTGTTTTTATCTACATCTACTCAAAACAAAGATGACTGCGCCTAACCCCACACAAATTAACCCGCCCACGAAGAGAAAACTATGTCCGAAACTTTGGCATAGATGAAGAGTCATGTCGAAAAACAGGTTCAAGTAAGTTTGTCCTTCATTAGGCGACACATCGGCGCACGTAGCAGAATTCAAATTTAAAAAGCTTTGAGGATCGGTACCCTGTTCACGCGTTGCTGTCAGTCTGGGAAACCAAGATGAAATACAGTGTAAAGTGTTTGTCAAATTGAGGCTGTCACTTCCAACCCCCGATGCCAGCGGTAAATCTTTGACTTTTGTGTTAACATATCCGTCAATATGGAGACCACAAGTCGCGTTATGTATTTCAGTACATCCCATTCACAGGCTACAAATACTCGACTCCTATGCAAATAATTCCTATATACGAAGTAAGAAATATACTCCCACATAATTATAGCTTCAGTTGACTCGTCGTATGTGTAGGCCGCATAGCGCCCTCTATTGTTGCCGATGTATTGCCCATTGTTTGCGCTCTTGCTGTTATGCCAGGGATAACGAACCTTGACTTGTTCAGTTCAATTGATTATTCCTCTTGTTGACAAAATTGTAGTGAGAAAACTGTGGATGAAGACGCACTCCGGGAATATTTTCATTTCAAATAAATTATGCATGATTAACGCGTGGATCGTTCGGGGAAAAACTGCAAAGGAAGAAAGATAACACTCATTGATTTTTTTCGGCTCAGGTTTTTTTGACTGACTTCAAGTTAGTTGCCAAACACGTGTCAAGGCTTTCAATACTTAATGTTTAAGGACAAACACGTTGTTTCGTTTCCCCCGTCTTGACTCTTGAGATGCGTACCGTATATTCCCCTGTGGCGAATTGAAAGTGATCGCGACATGTGCGTCTTCCAAACTTAAAATGAAGTTTGATTCCAGGAGATGCTTAAATTCTCGCATGGACTGCCAAATGGTGGCGCCCTCGCTCGGGCTGAGTAATCATAAACCACATGAAATAGTGACAACTGAACAGTGGACACAAATGAACGTTGTGTAAACATTCACGCAGGTTTCATTATGCTTTCTTGCATGCATGGCTAATGCAAACAATGCTGTGCCCAAATTCATGTTGCATTGGCGTAGCTGTGGAGGAGGGGTGGGGGCATCCTCGACACTCTGGCCATTAGACCCATAATGGTCAATTGTCGCACCTCTATTCTCATGTTCACTCATTGAAGACATACACAAACTGTCTTGGGCCATTTTTGTCTCCGTAAAAACAAAATAACATGACAGATTTTGTAATGTGTAAATGTGACGGGAATGTCTTTCTTTAATATTTAATGATACAATGGACAGGCTGCATTGCATTTTAAATTAAGTGGTAGCACGTTCATCATGTCGCATTGTTTTAGGAATAATTGTTATCTAGCCGTGAAAAGTTAATAATTGAAGATATAAATTAAGATAGACTTGATAAAGGAGTTTTTTGTTGAAGCAATTCATTATTGCAATATAAAAAAACTCATGGCTTAACGAACGGTATTTCCAATTCCCAAATACGCTACAATTTAGTTCATGTGATTATTGATATGATGCAACTCGTACACATTCAAAATATATGCATTATAAATATTCTTTTACACGAGTATAAGGTTTTACTCTTTGCCATCTTACAGTGGGTAGCTTTGCGATTTTTCCTTTTAATGCTTCGGTGTATTTTTTATATCTCAACAATGAATTAATCATCATATTGTGCTTGCTATTATCAAAGTGCATAATACTGAAACGCTCTCGTAAAATGTTAATACACGTCCGTCACTGTCATGTCGATGTCGTTTGTCCGTACTGGTTCGAGTTCCGAACTTTTGTCAGTTAGAACTTATTCTATAAGAGGTGAGTGAAAAAAACCTAGGTGTTTCGACGGCACGGTTGAGACTTTGGGGAGTGCTCTTTTCATGCGAAGTGACAAAACACACTGGCCACAAGGAAGCTTTGTGCAATTTGAACGGGATAATTATGTGCATTTAAGATGATTCCAATGTTAATGGCATTACAGCATGAGATTACGAGATCTGTGATGTGAAGGGAGGATTGGTGGATGAGGATATATGAAGGGGACAGTGAAAAAAAAGGATCGGGATGGTGCTTCATGGAGGTCACGTGGTGTTAGGAGATACTAATAAGCGATGATGAGTTGGTGTTAATAGAAACAAATAATGAAGATAGAGCTAACTTTTGGTAGAAAAAAGGAAATGTTAATCCTTGTCAGCTCAGTTGTCCGTCCATGTCCAAGTCATCGTCGTAATAAGCAAAGTAAATCGAAATGATTTCACCGTTGGAAAAGAATCCAACACACCAAGAAACAACTGTTTTACTATTCACGAAGTGTTATCCGTGGTGTGCACAAAGTCTGTAGATATTTGCAAAGTTAAGTGTGCATTGTTTCACTGACAAATAATTGTCTAAGATTATCTTAAAAGAAAATCAAGAAAAAATGTTACAGTTAGGCACTGATCTTTATCTAAATTAGTTGGATATTTGTGCACATGACCGGAAGGCTAAACTATATATTTCATACTTATAGAAGTGGATGTGTACGAGACTTAACTTTTGCTTCCAACCTTATCCGTCTGGTAGGAGATTTTCCTCTCTATATGAGCTGTGACAGTGGTTTTAGTTCATTCGAAGACAGTAAAAAAAGTCCACTTTGGATTTTATTTGACTGATTCAAAAGTCTTGTCCGTCTAAACGTGTAGGGTCAAACGTTCAAGATATGTTTATCGTCACTCGCCAATTTGGTACATCTTGAAGAAGAAGAATTTGTATACACTGAAGTGTTCGCTATATATTCATATTAATAGTACGTATACCAAAAGTAGACTATATTTGAAAGATTGCTCCAATCCAGCCAAGTTGCATATTCAATGAGTTGATACTAGATTAGCACGGTGCACCAGCATCCCACAATGCAACACTTCGTCAAACGTCCGTACACGGCACACCATCGTAGTCTTCGCACCGCCACTCTATGCAGTTTTTCTTATTTGGCGTGCCGTCTAGTCTGGAGTCCAGCACCATTTTGATGCTCTTAGTGAGCGGCGATTTCTCCGTGTAGGCTTTCTCGTCTGAGTCAACGTCTGTTTCCCGCCTCTCGTCCTCGTGGTGGATCTCGCATTTGATGACCACATGGTGTTTAGCTTCCTCAGTGTCTCGCCTCGTGACGTTATCTTCCGTTTCTTCAGCCCGAACCATAGGCGCCAGTTTGGGGGCGAGCGCCTTCCAGCGGGAGCTGTGTTTGAGAATCGATCTCTTTGGCACCGAATGGGGTTCAGGAGCCGATGACAACCCGTTCACGACCTTCATCTCAATGCCCTCAGCATTGTGAGTCTGATTGGCATTGTGACTGGCGTTCTGAGGGTGCGGGAAATGGCGGGTGACCACATTCTTCCATTTCTTATGCAGGATCGGCGATCGCTTGATCAGGATGCCCTTCTTAGTAGGCGATCGCCGTGTCATCGGAGGGGATCTGGTCGGTGATCGCGTCGGGCTGGTGTTAGGAGATTTCTTCAAGATTCCCGGAGGGTTCTTCCTCTTGGTCGGAGAAAGAGAAGACAAGGACTTGGAGGATGCGCCGTTTGGCGGTTGCTTGGCGCAGGGCCGCCAGTTCTTGAATTCTGGATCATTTGCATTCTGTGGGATTTCAACAAAAATACAATTCATCTGCAAAGAACGCGTCATTATGAATGTATCGACAAGAGTTGGACAGGCGAAGGTCAGTCAGAAGTAATGGCGATGAGCAAGTCTTATTGTAGATAACAAAACAACTTTATACTTCTGATCGTTTCCAGACAGCCCCTGCTTTAACCTTCAATGAAAACATGTAATCTGTTTATCTAGTATTTTACCTTTCAACTCTTGTTCTTAATTAATGTCTAAATATTTCAAATAAATAAACAAATAAATAAATTGAAAACACACTCGCAAAAACTTCAAACGGTCATTTTACCAACTGGGGATACCAAACCGTGTTTATTTTGTTTTAAACTCAAGACAATTATATTGTTGTTGGCTAGCAATCTTATATTGTTGTTGGCTAGCAAGTTTAATAAACGTTGGAATCAGATCATGGAAATTCTACCCGTCCAAACTTAGAAATGCTTCAGGAACGATGGAAGTAACCCTTAAATAACCTTAGGATAACCTTAGGACTGGGGACTTGTGTTTGCAGTTTTATTGTGGTTTTAAGTAAGAACGATCCAAAGAAATAATTCCGACCTTTCCAGGCACACCAAGGTAGCAGGCCTGATTGGCCGCCGTCTCGCCAGCTAATGTCTCGGATGAATTCGAAGATGACCCCGTCTCCATTCGCTGCTCCGACGAGGACGGTGACGTAGACTCCTCCCCATTCGCCTCACGGTCTCTCTTCTTCTCGGCTGACGCTGAATCTTTCTCTTTCTTTTTGAGCGGTACGACGGGGAGGCTTGCCGTCTCGTCCTCCTCCCCGCCTCCTGACATGCTGGCGTTGAAGCGAATCATCGGCATGTCATAAACATCCTGTGGAGAAAAGGTAAGTTGAATGCATACAGGATTATTTGTTTTTCATGCGTTTTCTTCATTTCCAAAAATAACATAACTCAAAATCCAAAGAAGAATGTGTATATTACACTTTGCAAAGAAACAGTGAAAAGCCATGCACAGCTTTCTGATCACAAAACACGACTTCGTGCATGGGCCTACTCTATCCAAAAATAAGTTAATTGATTGACCGTAGGAAATCACCTGCATTTCGTGATTTCTTCTACGTGACAGAGAGCCAGACGGAATAATTTCACGGGGTGTTTAGTACCAGTACATTCTTTAATCAAAGTAAGATTTTTGATAATAATTCGGTAGGCTATACTCTTGGGATAAATGCCAATAATAATTAAGAACGCATCTCAGTCTGATCCAGGCACATGTGGTACAATTGTGCAGTCATGTTGGACCGTAGTACAATGGCGGAAGCTTGAGCAAATGTTTCCGCCATTACTGGGGGGATAAGCTTATTATTACTGACAGAATTTGTGCCTGTCTTCTTCATTGACAGTTTCTTCCATTTGGCAAAATAACAAAAATGTCTTACCATTAAAGTTTTTCGGCAGTGAGATACCTCGTGTGTGTATGTTCTCGTTTGAGAAGCGAACTGCTTTTCACTTCCACGTTTTCTGTGACATGAAGAAATAAACCATGAAATAAATGAATATTTTTCATTCTTAGCCGATGAAGTCATTTTAGCACTGACGGTTCTGAGTTCTCAGAGAGGCTAGGACAAAATTCAAAACTGCATTACCCCGATAAAAATATCTAGTAGAAGTTAAGAGCATGGTTGGAATTGCATAGAATAATTCCAGCTCCTTGGATGATCAACAAAGTGTTGCAAAGGGATTTAATATAGATACAGTGAATGTTTTAACCCTACCGCTTCATTTTGTTTTGTCAAAAGGCTAACATTTGCAGAATTGTATAGCCTATCTGGAAACAATCATCTAAAAATATTGTGTTTGTTTAATTTTGAAAGGACTCAACCTTAAGGTGAGTAATTCTGAGGCCACCAAGCATAAACAAGATACATCTGAAGTGTTACTCACTTGCTTTGTACCCGTTTTTCCAAAGCGAAGCAAGTCAGCCAGACACACAGCAGTAAGGCGACACTGAGACACACGGCAGTCACTAACATCTCGAGCTGCTTGTATTCCTCGTCTGTCATTTCTTCAAAATAAAAAATAGATATAGATATAGTAACTTCAAAGGAACGCTGCTTCGCTGAGGTTGAATGCCCCCGGAGTTGTTATTCTCTATTGATATTTGTACCAAACACGTCATTGTCTCCTCCCCCGTGCGTTTGCAGCTGCTGACATTATGTTTACTTCAGTAATTTGCCACCTCTCAGTAAAATGCAACCCTATCATAAATTGTTTATAAATCATGTCACAAACACCACTGTCAAAAGATTTTTTATTGTTTTATTTTAGCGTCAGTATAGTACGTGTTTCCGTGTACACTCGTCGGTACATTTGTTTGTCTATCATGTTTCAAAAATGTTAATTTGTTGTTCGACCCGTTGCTAAGATCAACGTGCTGCTATTGAACTGCTGAATGTTTTAACGCTGATGGAAATTTGGCATAAGGTGCGGTTTAATCAAACTTATTCTTCTTTTTTAATGTTTTTTTTTTTAAAAGAGTCTTTTATAAAGAGTCATTTGGTCCTTGTAAGAACCGTACCGACAAGGCACTTGCTGCAGCTTTTTCATGTACACTTGCGGTATTAAAATAACAAATAACTAAATTAAAGTTAGTTTGAAAGTAAATAACACTTTAGAGAAAATAAAGTGTTTCCATGCATGCTTCTAAACTTAGCAAACATATTATGCCCACCTTTCGTATAATTGGTTGGAGCGGTGCTATTGCTGGTGACTAGCCATCTGGGTACAGCGCCCTCTGTTGTCGGCTCTCCTCCCACCGTCATGCCATGTACAACAACCGAGGCAGGACTGGAAGGTCCCCCAACAGATACTGCATCTGTAACAAGCAAATGATGGGAAGCACGTTCCAGAGAATGGTTTACGCAAGGGACATAAAACAAGAGACAAACAACACCCAGCAAAAAGGCAGAAAGAATACCCATTACCGTTTATTTGTCTGGAGAAAAATAAAAAAGAAGCGAAGCTCGCTGGTACCCGTGGGCTTTCGTATCAACGATGACAATCTGGACTCCATATGCCGAATGCCGTAGGGACACAGTAAGACAAATTGAATTTCCGAAATGGACTACATGAGAATACGTTTTGTCAAGAAACTCTGCTGGCGAAAGCTATCGGGGAGGGAGTTTCACAATAATTGCGGATTTGTTTTGGGGGGGAAATAAATTTCAGAACTAGGTCTTTCCCTGAAAAAAAAATCAGATATACAGTATTTGCGAAAATTCACATGAATCCTGTATTCTTAAACATTGTGGAATGACTATTGTAAACAATGCAGCATGACATCAAATCTTGGTTTATTTCAAAATTACTTTTAAAAAGGGATTTTACGTATTGAGGGCGTTACTTATTTAGTTTTTATATAGAACTTGAAAACCTATATCATTTAAACTTGAAACCTAATTGGCACGGAAACTAAAGACCCGCTCCTGGAGGTAATTGTAAATTTTTACGTAATTAACTCACAGCCTCTGGTGCCAGCCATTTTGACCACGGCGCACGAGGTAGTTTCTGTGTTTTCACGGTGACATGAGATCTCTAGGTTTAAGATGTAGCCGCTCAGCGACTGGAATGCGTCTAAGTTGCCCGTCCACTGAAGGAGAGATAACACAAAATATACATTCACGATAACAGAAGGCAGTACCGAAAGTAATGGAGGATTATAAAATAATTGTTTTACGACAACAGGTTTATATTTAATCTAACATCTAACATTTTCCTGGAGTCATCATAGAGTAATAATTATCAGCTCGACGGATTTGTTTGGTGTGGTGAAAACATACAACTTTTTATCCGCTTCTACATCAATAAAACATATTGGAATGTATCTCTCATGAGCAATCGGCCTTTTAACCAATGTCATGTTTGTACTGTCATAATGAATGATGGAGATCTTACCCAGAGACTATAGCGTCCAGCGCCGTCCGTATCCAGGGCAACTTTCCAGAGTCCCGCGTCTTCCGTGATATTTAGCGAATCCAGGCCAACCCAGCCACCGCACCTCAAGACCTGTGTTCTGCTGACTCGGCAGGCTGAGGGGGCGGACCCGTTGGTATCATTGCTGGCCCTGGGCTGAGGGGATGTGGGAAAGTGAGTCCACAAATAGTCCACCAATTGGATACGGGAAGAAGATCTGCAGTCTGAAAGATAAAAAGGGAGGGAAATGGTTTAATAATAAGATTTGAAAAGAATTGTTTGCATTCTTAATATTGTCGGAGTTAAATGAAGGAAGAGGTTTCTTCGGAGTCTTTGGCTGCTTTGATCACTGCTGGGTCACTCGGTGTAGTCACTGTAAACACGCTTGAAGTACTTGCTCGATGTGAACTTTTATTACGAGATGTCTTGAGATAAGTTGCGATGTTTTGAAGAATACGGTTTTTAGAAGGCCTTGAAGAAATAGTATCTTTAAGGACAACACTACTATGTAGTTTTCTTCATTGTAGAGGATTCAAATTGACCGTAATGTGTCACCAGTGGCCCAAATGTCGGTTTCCCCAACACAAACAGCCCGTATTTTTTCCACTGTGAGTGACATAATTCGCCAGTATTAGTGTCGAACACCTGATATACACCCTAGATATAATGAAGTACATGGGACCATGGTGGAACTATTGACCTCGGTGTGGTGCCTGGTGCTGGTAGCCTGGCTCAAGTCTCGTAATGCTACGCACATGTCTCGATCGGAACCAGTTTAGGTTTTATCATTGTGCCGTGCGAAACAGCACAATGGAGTACATCTTAACGACAAGAGCGAAGTGCGTCGTCCCATCTTCGAAGCATTCTTCCTACGCACCCTAAGTCTTGAGATGAACTCTGTTCTTCCTTTCTCGGTAATTCATCTCACTCCTCGGCTAAAAGCTTCCCGATGACGGCCGAGGTGTTCTGAGCGTACAGGGAGCAGACTTACTGTGACAGACCGGATCTTTGCGCCCCGTGGATGTCTCTATGAAATTCAGTCAGAGAGGATAAGAGTGAATCCGGTTGGTAAATGGAGAACTGCCATCCAGGGTTGAAAGAGGCTGAATGTGATACTTCCGGATTTTGCCATACGATAGAGGTTTGATGCTAGACTTGATACCAGCCAGTAAAGGTTCCTGTTATTAAGATGTACAGTATGGGGTTATGTTGTTTCAGCATTCCCCACAATAGCCCAAAATACAAAGACATTACTTTAGTCTTGTGTGAAATGTCCATTACGCATTATGTGACAAATTTGTTATGAAAATGGAGCTTGTCTTACCATTCTTTTGCCATTTGATGTTTGTTGAGTATTTTTTTCGACACAACTGCAGAACACAGAGACTAAGTGATTTTACAACGTGCTGTCACACTGAGATAGAGATATCCGCAGTGAATAAGACACATTGTCGTAGGCCTAAGGTACCCACGATTGTATTCATTCGATTTTACTATTAGAAAAGCTGTTGTAAACTGCGTATGACTGACCGGTAGTAACATTAAATGTATATCCTAGACGTCAAAATCCAGCAACAGCAACACTATCAACCAGATGAATTCCACACTGATACGTAAATAAAACAAGAATTCGTCGTAGTGGATGGTCTACCGAGAATTCTCCAGCACAAGTCGTCAAAACTTGATAAAGGCGACAGACGGGAACTTGGTGTCCTCCCACTTCCTCCTCAGGAAAAAAAAATAATTAATGGTTTTCACGCTGATGTGTGTCGTGCCTCCCTCTGCACCCCGGGTGTACGGGGTGTTAGCCCCGTAATAAACCGGGACGAGTCACGCTGCTGGCAGGCGTGATATCAGTCCCGACTGAATCGAAGAAGGATGACAATCCCTCAGCTTCAACCAATATGTACCTGCCTAACTTTGAATAAGTTATAAATTGTGTCTGTTTGCAATACGAACTTGGCGGACAAGGCAATTAAAGGCACGCTGTGTATGCGAGTGCATGTTCGGAGAATGTATAGGCCTAACTATGACTCCGGTAGCGTGGCGAGAATATTTTGTCATTGGGCGGTTTACGGAGATATTTTCTTTTTTTATTTTTTATTCCCGCTGGTCATTTCTTGCTGGCTTTAAGTAAATGAAAATTAATGTAAATTAATCAAAAATGTCATATCCCGAATGGATATCTTTGTACAACATTTACGTTGCGTTTCAGTACACAGTAAGATTTTGTAAAAACTGACAATGTATGAACACTTTCAATGAGTGAAAGAACGAATATTTGTTCTGGGCAAGAACTAAGCTTTTGTCAGGAAGGGTATATAGAAGAGGATTAGTATTCTACGCCCTGCCAAGTTCCGCATATCAAACACGTCCTTACCACCTGTGTCATAATGTATTATGTATCAAACTACGCTGGAAAGTTCACACAGTAGCGGGTATAAGCGAATAGGACATGTGAAGTGACCAACAAAAGTAGCAGAGTATAACACACACAAACAGAACGGAGAAATTCCATTACCAAAGTGCAGAAAATAAAGCAAAAGACCTCATGCATTTGCAGTCATCTTTGCGAGTTATTAATGTCAGTCTGTAGTGATTGTTTTTCCAACTTTCACTGGGGAGGTAACACACAGAGTATGCAGTGTTTAAACGTCGGTGAAGGGCAAAACCTCATCACCCCAACGCAAATCCATATGAATAGTTCAATTGCCGTACCCGCTGCTACATGTATATCAGATTCCAACCAGCCAACCGATACCACAAGCTCGGTGGTCGAGTGGTAAGACGTCTGCACTAGAAAGCAGGAGGTCGTGGGTTCGAGTCCCAACCGAGTGATTTTTCCACTCGGGAGGTAACACACTGAGTATACAGTGATTATACGTCGGTGAAGGGGAAAACCTAATATTGATATATACATCACCCCGACGTCATCTTATGAACAGTATGTGAGTGTTATTTCATTATCATATTGAAGCCTTGAACCCAATACGCGCCAGCCTAGGCGGCTCAACTGACAAGTGACTGCAGTACAAATAAAAAGACGGCTTTTATAACCCTCCAATGATTTCAATTGCGACTTAAAGTGCTCTAGCTCCTACCCTGCACTGCTTCGTCATCTACCCCCGGCCCGAAATTACTCGTGAGCCAAAATCCAGCAGGTAAAATGTGGGCCAGGGCTGTTTACTATGTCCGTCAGGGTCACTGCAGACGGGAAATGTACGGGGGTAAGAACATGATCAAACAGGTTTAGGGGCGGCCTGGCATATATACGGTGGGCCGACCCAGAATCAAGGTGTATATTGCGCGTTGTGATGACGACATGCTACGCACGCGCGGCTAATGCGAGGCACGCGCACGCGTGTAGATAATATTTGCCAGCTTTCAGGTATATGCTGAGCGCGATGGTGCAGTCGTACCGTCTCTAATCGTCTAAACGCGTGAAACCATCCAGTTCCGCCAGGTTTTTACAGGGCACATGATTGGGGTCCTAGATCTTGCCAGTACGTGGTGAGAAAGACAATCTTGACTTGACTTCGACTAGGAGAGATTCAGAAATAATATCAATTGAAATGGGATCGGTTTAGGTGAACAAGTATGAAGCTTTGTGCTGAGGGTAAGCGGTAATAGCTTTCATGGGTCACGATAGATCAAGCCTCATCAAAAAGGCGGCAATATACCGGGGATATTAAATACATGCAATCCTGACTATTCAATTACGCCCCACTGTGATAGGATATAAACTCTTGTCCTGCATCTTGGAGACGTGTACGCAGCATCCCTTTACACATTTTATGCCTCTTGTACCCATGAAATTCAACAGCAAACAAGCCACTCCTGGGATCGAAATTACATGGCGAAGCATCGGGCTTTTTCAACACCCGACAGGCGCTTTGATAAATGCGAATGTCAGGTTAGCCATCAGAGGGGAGAATCAACAATGCCCAGGAATTACTGCTGGGATGGTTTGGAGTGGTTGTCCAATTACACGAAGAGAGGGAACTCCTCGGTGTTTTTGTGCCAATTGTTCCAGGCAAGCAATTGCAGAGGTGAGGTGGTCAGGAGACTGCCCGCAGCATGAACCTGGGATTGGGCAGGTGATTTCGCGATAAAACACGCAACTTGTGCAGTCGTCGTTAATGCATTTAATGCCTGTTGGCAATGTTGCCGTCTGAATTCTTGATCGTAAAGGTGAACATACGGTTATTGATTTAAGGGAATTGGAACAACAAGCTGGAAAACTGGATCTGAGCAACAGTTACGATTTTAAATTACCTTCACTGAGCACTCTTTTTTTTGATTTTGGTGAAAAAGGTGCACGATAGACGACTCCCATATTTAACATTTTGCGGAGGAGGAATCATGCATGACTCTTTGACTTAGTTATATCTACCGATACCTATTATAGGTTTGTTCAAGTGGGAGGTAGGATTGAATTGGTAAACATGGCACTGGGATAGTCGTCATAAAGCTTTGATTAACCCTAAAAGGGCCAGTGGCGGAATCCGCCGCCCCCAACTTTTTTTCCGCGATAGCTTTTTTTTTTTAAAAACCTGAATTTTCCCATATACGTCGTGTACACATAGCCGAATTACCATTCGTACATACGAATAATTAATTAGCCGTAATTCCAAAACCCTTTGACCTATAGTCACGAATTTTTTTGGGAATGTTCATGATGAGTTGCTCTATGCATGTACCGAGTTTCAAAATTTCACTCGATGGCCGAGAACTTAGGAGGGGGGGGGGCGGAATCCCCCCCCCCCCGGCTGAGAGATGGTCAAAATAAACCGGCCCTTTTAGGGTTAAGCCATCAATATATAATGGGCAGTTTAACTTCAGATTTCCTTGTGTTATGACACTGTTTAAATTTAGATATGTTTCAAGATGGCAGGAAGCAACACAAAGCCTTCTATATAGCCTATAGGAATTAGAGAAAAAAAGAATATAGGGATCAGCGACAGGATAATAATAAATAGAAACACTAAGGTGCAGCTGGGGACTGGGACTGAAACCAAAGGAGTAGAAACAAAATATGCAGAACGGAGCAGAAGCAGGTGAAACCAGGGAAATGATCAGGAATGTGGACAGAACATATTACAGGATAAGCGCGAAGAGGAGGAGCAAATAGAGGAAGAAGATGGAGTGGAAATGAGAAAGGTAAAACCACATCTACACTAGAACCAAAAAAGCAACATAAAAGGTTTAGGAAGCAGACACAAGA